GGATATATGTACATATATAAGATCGCTTCTGGCACGTGGGATGGCGCCGGACTTGACTACGGTCAAGCCGGGAAGTGATGGCGTGCGGAGACGGTACTTGAGCCCAAGCGACCAGCCTCAGTCGCTTGTGTAGGGTAAGGTAGGTTTGCCCAGGCACAAGTGAAGTTCCCCTGTCGGTGCGCTGCTTATAAACGATTTCCGGTAGAGGCGTCTGGCGACGCGGCCAATAGGGCGCTAGTGGATGGTGGGGTGGAAGTTGCAACCCCTCTCCTAGTCGTCGTAACAGTATCCCCCCCCCTGTAAAGGGGTTGCGACGGCGGGGTGCAGGCGCTGTAGCAAACGGCGGTGACGGGGTTGTCGTTGGTTCCGTGGTGGCGTCGGTGAAATGATTCTTGGCGGAAGTTCCGGTACTGGTGCCGGGGTGGGTTGGTTGGGTGCAGGGCGTAGATCGTGTACGTGCACCTTTACCAGTTCGTTTCCTCGCCTTATCCAGTACGCGTTTGTGCCCGCCAGCGCTTCGATGGTGTAGGGACCTGTGTACTTCATGTGAAAGTTCCCGGAGTGTTGGTCCCTGGATCTTTCCATCACTCCGTCGCCTACTTGGTACTGGGTGCGGGCTGGCCCGTAGTTCGCGTACCGGCTGCGGGATCGTGCCTGGTTCCTGTGCACCGTCTGTACGACCTCCTCTCGGGCTTCTCCTGTCGGTGGAGGTGGTCGATCCCTGGCTTTCCACTCTCCTGGCCTGGGTAGGTCGTAGCCTAGCAGCGCGTGGCTCGGCGTGAGTCCAGTAGCGGCGTTTCTCCTCGTACGTAACGTGAACATGACAATGGGTAGTACGGCCGCCCAGGCGCTGGGGCTTTGTCCCACCAGATGAGTGCGGAGGCCCTTTTTGATTTCTTGGTTCCGGCGTTCGACGGGGTTCGCCTGCGGGTGCCATATGGGCGTCGTCCAGTGCATTGCTCCCCACTTCCGAAGTGCCGCGTCCCATGTCACTGATGTGAATTGCGGTCCGTTGTCTGAGATGATCGCTCTCGGGAAACCATAGCGTGCGAATACCTCGTGTTCCAGGATTCTGACCACTGTTGGAGCGACTGCTTCCTTTACTGGAAATGCCTCCCCCCACATGCTGAAGAGGTCCGTGATCACGACTATCTGGCGGTAGCCTGTAGGTGTGGCGTCGTAGGGGCCCATCAAGTCTACGGAAACCGCTTCCCAGGGTCGTGTGGGTTTGCGCGGGCGTACGGTGGCGTCCTGGACCGGGCCTCTTTTGACTGCCGCGCAAATCCAACATGCTCGTACATAATTCCGCACCGTGTCTCCCAGTTTCGCCCAGTGGTAATGTGTCATTATGGCCCGTTCCGTTTCTTCGGCTCCTGGGTGTCCAGCTGTGGCTGCGTTGTGGTACGCTTCTAGTACCGCTGGTTGAAGGCTGCAGGGGACTACGAGTAGGTTCCCTTGGGGTGCTTTGCGGTAGAGGTAACCGTTGTCCACCGTGTAATCCCGGTTGAACCTTGCTTGTGCTGGTGTCGCTGGTCCTTCCTGCTGTATTCTGTGCCAGGTGCGTACCAGAACGATGGCGTTTTCGTTTGTCTTTTGGCCCTCCTTCACATGGTCCGCCAAATTGGCCACTTCCACTGCCGCGATTACCGGGGTGCTGTTGGTTTGTTTGGACTCGTGTGTGGTCGTAGGTGGCAGCATGCGGTTTACGTCTTCTGCCGTGGCTTCTTCGGCTTCTTCTGCTGATGGGTGGCGGGACAGGTGGTCTGGAAGCTCGTTTTCTTTCCCCGGACAGTGGACCACATCAAATGTAAATTCTTGGAGCCGTAATGCCCAACGAGTTAGCTTGCTCTTTTCGTCTTTTGTGCGATCCAGCCACAGGAGAGCGCGGCTGTCTGTCTTCAACGTAAAACGTCTATCTTCCAGATATGGCCGGTATCGTTTAATGGCCCATACTACTGCCAAGCACTCCTGTTCGTTGATATGGTAGCGTCTCTGCGCGTGGTTAAGTTTGGCACTGGCGTAGCTGATAATTTTTTTCTCTCCGGGGTGGGGTTCTTGAAAGAGTACGGCCGCAATCCCGTTTTCGCTGGCGTCGGTTTGCAGCACGAATGGAGTGGCGAAGTCCGGACGGCTGAGTTGGAGTGGTTTGCTAAGTGCTGCTTTTAACTGGCTAAAGGCGACGTCGGCTGCCGCTGTCCATCGGAAAGGGGTGTTCTTTGTTAGTAAGTTATCCAACGGTGCTTGTAATTCGGCACACCGGGGCACGTACTCTCGTAGCCATTTGGTCAATCCTAGAAAACTTCTTAGCTTCTTCCTCGAGGTGGGCCGGTCTGCGGTCCGGATTGCTTCGATGTGTTCCTGGCACGGGCGGTTCCCGTTCGCCGTGATGTTGTGGCCCAGGTATTGGATCGTTTGCACCCCGAAGCGACACTTTTCGAGGGACAAGCCGAGTTTGTGGCGTTGCAGTCGTTCCAGCACGAGGTGTAGATGTTTGAGGTGCTCGTCCCAGGAGTCTGAGTAGATTATTATGTCATCCAGGTATACCATGACGAATTTCCGTAAATACCCGGCGAGAACGTCCTGGGTCATTAGCTTCTGGAACGTAGCAGGTGCATTCTTGAGCCCGAACGGCATTACTTTGAATTGATAACTCGCTCCATCAGGGGTTGAAAACGCGGTGAGATGTCGGGATTCCGTCTCTAGCGGCACCTGCCAGTAGCCTGATTTGAGATCCAGGCTGGAAAAAACTTCGGCCGTCCCCAGGTCTCGGAGGGTCTCCTGTATGACTGGCAGGTTGGTGCTCTCGTCTTTTGTGATGGCGTTTAGACGACGGTAGTCGATGCAGAATCTCGGGCGGCCGTCTTTTTTCTGAATTATGACGATGGGCGAGCAATATTCGGACGTGCTGGGCTCGATCACCTGCGCTGCTAACATAGCTTCCACTTCATCCGCGATGACCTTCTTTTTGTTTGGCGAATGTCGATATGGCGGAAGTCGGAAGGGCGTTGTTTTGGTGACTCGGATGCGATGTGTGGTGGATGCTGTTGTTGTGGGCGTTGCAGGATCGGCCAGTGTGCTACCGAAAGTTTCCAGCAGTGTGGCCAGGCGTCGATCGAGTGGTGGTTGGAACCCGTGCTTGACTCCGGCGAAGTTTATGGAGTCGCTCGTTGTTGGGCCGCGGTTCGGAGTTTGGTCCCAGTGTGTTGTCTGCCTTGTATGGGTTCCCCAGTGGATGCACGCTCTCTCGTAATCCAGCACCGCTCGATGTTTTTGGAGCCACTTCTGTCCCAAGATCATGGGCACGACAAGGTTTGGTGTCACCAGGAAGTCGTCCGATTCTTGCTTGTCGTTGAGCGTGTACTCGACTCTGGATGTGCCGATGACTTCCAGCTGATGGCGGGGGTTCGCTAGGCCGGCTGTTTGGTGGTTGCTATGGTGGATTTTCCACGCGAGCTCCTTCTGGATGAAGTTATGGGATGATCCGGAGTCGAGGAGAGCTCTTACGCTTTTTCCGCGTACCTTGACTGCCAGCGTTGGTAGGTTGGGTCGGGTCGCAGTCTGGATTAGGTGGACGGCCGGGCATTGTTCCCGACCGCTGCCCCGTTTCCCTGGTCTCGGCGGCGGGTCAGTACTGGGCAGTCTCGGTGGAAGTGATATTCCGGGCAGTGGTGGCACTTTGGTGTGTTGGGAGGTCTGTCGGCGGGGGTTGGTGGCGATGGTCTGGGTTGATTGTTTCGAGGTAGCGCTTTGTTGCAGTTTTCGATTTCCTCGGCGTGACGCACCAAGTCGAGGAGTGAAGTGGGTGTTGTGGTTAAAAAGGCTACTCTAATGCGTGGGTGCAGCAGGTCTCTCAGTAGCTCGAGGTGCTCGCCGATCGGGATCTTCAGCCGTTTTGCTAGCTGTGCCTTCCTCTGGAGGAATTGCTGCGGCGACTCTGCTCCTTGTTCTCGGCCGAAGAATTCTGATTGCATCTTCCCGCGAATCTTGCTGCTGTCGTATTTTTCGCGGGTGTAGTTCTTTAGGTCGTTGTATGTCGGTGAAAATGCCTCGTAACTGTTCCACCATTTCGCAGCCTCCCCTTTTAGTTGTGCTGCTGCTGTTTTTAACTTTTCCGCCGGGTCGGTGGTTTGGATTGTCTGCTCGAGCGTGCTGAAGAAGACTGTTGGGTCCTCCAGGTGGTCGCCGCTGAAGGTCGGTAGGTCCGGTGATGCGGTTTTCGGCGCGTTCTGGAGGGCGTCGGTCAGCGCCTTTAGCATGTCGAGGGTGTGTTGAGAGTGTTGGGCGCCACTGGACGGGGTTGCCGGGTCCAGACCGGGGTTGATTGCCGGGGTCATCTCCGTTGTTTGAGTGTCGATACCTTCGTCGGCGCCGGAGTTGGACGTCGGGGTGTTCCTGCTCCTCGTATTCATGGTGTTGCGCGTCGGCTGTCGCGGGAGCGTGGGCGTAGATCCTCAGAGCGCGATGCTGCTGGTTGACTCACACTTATGGGCGCCAATTGTTACCGGGCGGGGTAACGTAAGTGGCAAACGGAGATTGAAAACGTATATTACACAATATTTACAAATAATACAGAGGATATATGTACATATATAAGATCGCTTCTGGCACGTGGGATGGCGCCGGACTTGACTACGGTCAAGCCGGGAAGTGATGGCGTGCGGAGACGGTACTTGAGCCCAAGCGACCAGCCTCAGTCGCTTGTGTAGGGTAAGGTAGGCTTGCCCAGGCACAAGTGAAGTTCCCCTGTCGGTGCGCTGCTTATAAACGATTTCCGGTAGAGGCGTCTGGCGACGCGGCCAATAGGGCGCTAGTGGATGGTGGGGTGGAAGTTGCAACCCCTCTCCTAGTCGTCGTA